CCCCCTGCCCCTCCGGCTCTAAAACAGGCCGAAGAGTCAGGGGAGGAGCAGAGCAGCCGCGGGAGGGGAAGTGCCCGGTCGGCATTTTCCCAGACATGTTCGGCTTTTTGGCAATTCCCCCCGGACGGGGGTTTGATTGCCGAAAAGCCGGACATGTCCGGGAAAAACCGGATGTATGGTAACCCTACCCTCTCATCAGATTTGCTTGATCCCAGCACATCTCCTCAACCAGCTTGTCTTCAACTGAATGCACTTGATTTTTCTGTATTTTGGATCCGCAGCATTTTGCTACATTCTTTTGTACTTAGTACGTGGAAACCCCTTCTGGTGAATTCAGCTCTTTGGCTTGTGCTTTCATAATGTCTGCTGCCCTGCAGATCTGGAGAGCTTTTGTCCCCTTACTAAAACTCGGGGGGGGGGAAGTTGGTTGCTAGCTCCCAGTACCAAAAGAAAGGGGACGGGTCGATGGGAAATCAGGACCCTGAGACTGACAAGCCCCAGGAACAATGGGGAGAGGCCAACACTCCAGGTCAGCCTGATTGACAGGGTGGGCAGGCTAATCAGGGAGACAGGAGGCCAGGGGATCCCATCCTCCATGTGAGCTGGAATTGCCTGGGTTAGACAGAGTGGGGCCGAGCTGAGAGGAAACAGAGCTGTGCCAGCCAGAGCGGCCAGAAAAGCAGCCCAGGGAGCAGATCCTGTGCTGGGAGCAGAGCTGGAGCCACGGAGCCAGAGGGGCCAGAGAAGCAGCCCAGGGGGCTGGAGGCAGAGCAGCAGTATCAGTGCTGAGGCAGAGTGGAGCTAGAACTAGATCAGTGGAGCTGGGGTTGGGGCTGGAGCTGGAGCAGACTGGAGCCAGGTGTGGTGAGCAACTGGGACCAGCCAAGGGGGGACCCTGGGCAAAGGGCCCAGTGCAGAAAGACACCCCCAGCCAATGGTCCTTGCAGGCCAGACTGGGAGGGGGATCTTAACCCGATGAGGGGCTGACACTGGGAAGAAGGGTCCCACCACGCAAAGCCCAGAGGTGTGTGGCCACCACCATTGCAAGGTCCAACCCGCAGCATCCCTGCAGCACAGCCAGGGCCAGAGAAGGAGCCTGGGACCTACAAGGAACAGACTGAACTGCCCTGACATTCCAGAGACACTGTTTGTGATGTTCCCTGCCACAGAATGGGGTGATGTGTTTTCCTTTAACCTTTCCCAGCCTTGTTGGGGTTATGAGGACTCTGCCAGACAGGAGAGTGGAAGGGGAGTCCCCAAGGGCAGGGGGGTCTCTGGGTAAAGGAAGTAGGAGTGAGGACTCAGATCCTTTCGCTAGCTCACTTCACAGGGTAGTACAGAAGCCAGGAAAGGTCCCCACAATAGCAGGGCATTCCCCCGCTTACATAAAATTAAATCTCCTTCACAGAGCAGTCTCTCTCTCTTAATGCATTGACTTTCATGCCACAAATGAGTCTATCTCTGACCAGAGACTCTGTCAACTCACCAGAGTCACAGGTTTTACTATCAGAGGGGTAGCTGTGTTAGTCTGAATCTGTAAAAAGCAACAGAGGGTCCTGTGGCACCTTTGAGACTAACAGAAGTATTGGGAGCATAAGCTTTCGTGGGTAAGAACCTCACTTCTTCAGATGCATCTGAAGAAGTGAGGTTCTTACCCATGAAAGCTTATGCTCCCAATACTTCTGTTAGGCTCGGCGGGTAGAAATCGACCTCTCGGGGATCGATTTATTGCGTCCCGTTGGGACGCGACAATCGATCCCCGAATCGGCGCTCTTACTCCACCAGCGGAGGTGGTAGTAAGCGCCGCCAACAGAAAGCCGCAGAAGTCGATTTTGCTGCCGTCCTCACAACGGGGTAAGTCGGCTGCGATATGTCGAATTCAGCTACGCTATTCACGTAGCTGAATTTGCGTATCTTAAATCGACTCCCCCCTGTAGTGTAGATGTACCCTTAGTCTCAAAGGTGCCACAGGACCCTCTGTTGCTTTTTACAGGTTTTACTGAATCTCTTTAATCTTGTGACATATTTTTCTATTGTATCATCAGTGTTTTGCATGCATGTAAACAATTGGTGACTCTAAAAGGTCTCATTTTCCTTTCAGCATGCAGTGTTCCTCAAATCAAGTCAGTATTTGACTTAACTTCATGCTTTCACCTTCTTAAAACTTAAAGGTGTTATGAATATCCAATGTTCCCTCCCCAAAACCATGCAAAAGCATTGATGATTTCATGTTGTCATTTTCTCCTCTGCCTCTGTGACTGCTAAATACAGTTCAAATCTCTGCTGGAATTTCTTCCAGTTCTCTGCAACATTGTCGGACAATCACAAAGTAGATGCAGGTTGTAACACATCCATTTTTGGCTTTCTTCCCTTCTTAAGCTAGTCAGGCTACTATTGTACTCATACAACATATATAAAAGCTTTTGTTTCTTCTCTGTTTGCTGCTCCACCTTCTCCCCTTGCCTCTGCTTTCAGTTTCAAACACAGGAATTAACCTCAGAATGACTTCTGCAGTGTCTTTGTGACCCAGCACTTCTGACACCATGGACAACTTAGGCTTCATTAAACAACAACCCAGTGAATGAGAAAGGAATAGATCTTTTATTAAAAACAAACTAGAGAGCATCTGTGGTGCACAGATATGCTGTGTTCTGCACCCCTGCTTCCAGGGGCTGGCTCAAAATTCCTCTATTCATATTGCCACCCCTTATGAGGGAGCCTCTCGAAATTATACTCTTGCAAAAATATATCACTACAACCAACACCCCCTGCTGAGGGAAGTAGTGTGCAAAAGGGGAGAAATTCTTGTTAATGCCCCAAGCTTTCTGTGGGCAGAGAGGGCCCATGTGCTGACCTGTCTCTCTAGTAGTGGAAGGGGGGACCCAGCCACTGCTACTCCAATGGATAGGGGACAGGTCTATGGGGGCCCCATGTCTGGGAGAGCCTAGGTCCCGGCATTGCCTGAATCCAGCCCCACCCTCTGCAGAACTCCCAGCCCCTGCTGGCCAGGAAGGAGGGATTGGAGTCTGAGCCCAGCCAAGCGCTCTCTATTATCATTGCATCTCCAGCCCAGCCCCAGAGCAAAGGGTGAGCGTAGGTTTTCTGCGCCATATTATTACCTATTTGCCCTTGTGCAAGGTGGGGCTCTGAGAGAGTCACAGAACCGGAGCACACCAGGCACTGGGGATTCTGGGAGGCTGGCAACACTGGGGATTTTTTTTTCTGACAAAAAAATTGTTTTCATTCAAAAGTTTTCCTGAAATCAATATTCTGACACAATGATTAAAAAATGGTTTTAAAAGAATGGAAATTCAATTAAAATCAAATGCAATCATAATGATTTTTTTAAGTTCAGTTCTTAGTCTTTTTCTCCATCAATTCCAAACATTTGATTCCAGTCTAAGGGAATCAAAATGAACATTTTTTGCTGTGAATCATTTTATATAACATTTTTGAATTAAATTAATTTTTTTGGTGAAAATGTTCATATATTTTTGAAGCCATTTTTCATTAAAAATGTTATTGATGAAAATTCTTCACCAACTCTAATCACCAGCTTCTTCACAGGGCTCTTGTTCAGCCTAATAACAGAGGATAAAATACTGAAAAAGCACCTAAATCCCATTGGCTTTCAATAGGAGTTAAGGGCCAGATCCACAAAGGGACATAGACAGATTAAGGGCTAGCTGCTCTGAGAACACCTACCAGTTCAGGCCGTGCCCTAAAGACAGCTGGGGGTGGCTGAGAGAGACAGTCTGTGGGCATGTGGCCAGAGTATCCTAGAGTCTGAAGTTTAAGCCCTCACCTGGGATTTGGAGAACCAGGTTTCATTCCCCATTTCTGATTTGGGGCAGGGATTTGACCCCAGGTCTTTCCAATCCCAGGTGAGTCTCCTAGTAACAAGTGCTCAGTAGGCCCCGGCCCATGGCCAAGGTAAGCTCCAAGGAGGGATTTCGAGGAGGGGAAGGTGGTGGCTCTGTGACTATTGGCTGGGAGCAGTTCCTGTGCATGGTGGGCAGCATGGAAAGAAACACAGAGGTGCTCGAGGGGACATTCAAGGCATTCAAGACATTCAAGGCTGCCATTGTTGGCAGAGTGTGAGTTGATGGCTTGATGCACTACTAGGTCTGACAGTTAATACATAATCTAACACCACACATCCCTCCAGCACAAACCCAGCCTGTGCGTTCAACATCCTATGCTGGGTTAACACATGTTCCAACACAACGTAACGTCCCATGGAGACAAGGCTTGAAAGGGTCTGAGCCCAGCTAGGCTCAGCTAAACCTGATTGCCAGACTGAGAACTCTTTGGGGCAGGGACAGTCTCTCATGGTCTGTATGTGCAGCAGCTAGCACAATGGGGCCCTGATCTCAGTCAGGGTCTATGTATTACCTTGCATAATGGGGGCCAAATCTTGGCCGGGGTCTGTGCAGCATCTGGCACAATGGGAGGCAAGGTCTCAGCTGGGGCCTCTAGGTGCTACTGTAATGCATGTAATAACAACCAGGGAGGCACCTTCCATTTAGAACTCTGAGCCAAATAACCCCCCGCCCCTGCCACACACACACACACACACATGCTTCTGGCCTGGCACCCCTTCCACTAGGAACATTGTCAGGGCAGGGCTGTGCGGCCCTTTTGAAGAGGCACCAAATCACCCGTTCGCCAATCACACCCTCCTGGGAAAGGCCACAAGGAACCCCAAATGGCCACACCCTTCAGTGAGGGGATAACGGGCTGAGCAGTGAATCATACCCACCATTGGGGTTTGTCCAGCACTGATGGGAGGTGGAAACAGGCAGGGGGGATGTACTCCATGGGGCAGGAGTGTGAGCAGCCCTGAGAGCGAAGGATCAGGGGTAATAATGGGGAGGGATCTACCTTAAGGATTCAGCGTGTTCCTGGAGAGGGATCTACCTTAAGGATTCAGCGTGTTCCTGGAAATGCCATGAAGTTAGCCTGGGGTCCCAGCCTCACGCAGAGCACCCAAGGAACTGAATGGATGTTCTGAGGCAGACAAGGAAATGTATTGCAGAGCTGTTTGTGAACTCTGACCGGGAGATTGGAAAGTGGAAGCACCAGGGTGCTTGTCACACATTAACCTGAGTATTGCAGCAGAGGTATTATCTGGCCAGGACCCAGAACAAGTATTCGGTTACCTGAGCAGACATGGTGAGCAGTGAGGAGTTCATACAGCGATGAGCCACCTCTGCATTGCTTGGCAGAGGCGGCCCTAGACTAGCTGCCAGCAACTGGCAGCCTATGTGAACCATGCAATTATCACCCCCAAACTACAAGGGCAGATCTAGGCTGAGGTTTTTGGTAAACTGGGAAACATTTTGCTCCTTTTTTCCTTTTAATGTTCTGTAAGTGGTTTTTTTTTAAACAGAGGCTTAATTATTCGATTTGTCCGTCCGTCTGTCTGTCCAACCAATGTTTCTGAGATCAGATAAAATAGACACACAAAATTTTCAGAATAGATTTGTACACCGCAGCTAGATGATATTTCAATCTGATTTCAAATAAAAATGCATTAAAATGTTAATTAGAATTTTTATAATTACAAATCCAGAATCATCCATTATGCTGTCCTACTTTAACTGCCATTACCACCACATCCAATATAGAAAGAAATAAGAAAACACTTCAATGAACTTTAACCTGTATTTACAAAACACTCCGAATAAAACACCCTCTGTGCTCTTAAAACATGACTTTACTTGCTTTAAGTTTTGAAAATTCAGTCACTAGTTCTTTTAGATCCGGTTTTCTTTGTTGCTTTTTACAGATCTGGACTAACACGGCTACCCCTCTGATACTTAAAAGAATGCATAGAGCTATAAAAATGTTTGGAAAACTGTCTGAGAGTTTATTTTCACAAACAAAGTTCATTATTTCTTCAGTAGTGGAATGTTTCTAGAACCACTGGAGATGCCCATGCACTGTTAGAGGGGCGGATTACACTGCTCTACAGCCAAAATGCTTCTGAAATAAATGTAGTCAAACTTTACTAATTCTGGGTCACTGAGAATGAAAATGATGCTTAAAATTGTTGATTGGCTCTAGTTTTCAAGATATGCTATTGGGTCT